TGTAACAACCTGATGTCATCAAAATTTTGTCCTATAATCTGTATGCTTATTGGCATTTTACTTTTTGATAATTTTACTGGTATTGTAATTGCTGGACATCCTAAAACAATTATAAAATACTGAAATTATAGTTACATATTCAGAGATTTACAATAATAAATGAATAAAAAAATGTCATTTAAATATTATGAATATATTCTCTCCGTTAAATTCTAGGAATCCCGTATAAATCATATTGAATATGCAACTGGTAATAAATTTTTTTTTACTTTACACTTACCAGCCATATTAGCAGGTTGAGTACAATAATCTTGTGTAGCACATTGTGTACGATTGTCTAAGGACTTAAATTCAGACAGCAAAGGAGCTGTAGTCAATGTAGTAGGTGTAACTAAAAAGTCATAGTTAGATTTCCAAATGTTTTGGAAATCGTCTGATATCAAGCGTCGAACTTTTAATGATTGTAAAAAATACTTTTCATAATTACTAAAAACAAATTATTAAATACATTGCAATGTATTATAAAAAATATTAATCATTTCTATTTACCTTTGCAAGAGAAAAAAATTTCCACTTAAAATTCTAGATCTAACAACTTCTCCTAGAGCTTCAATCCGATTAGTAGTAATTAATGATTCAAATGATTTATAATTTTGTGTTGATCTATAACCATACAAGATTCCTGTGTATCGTGACATGTTACTAGCTACCTCACAAGCATTCAAAACTGAATAAGTGGCTATTGAAGCACTAGTGTGAGGTAGTGACACCTATAAAGATTAAATAGCTTATTAATAAATTACTTTGAAATAATTCTATACTGTTATAATACCTTCTTTACCATTCCTTCAGAATTATCAATGAGATCTGCAATATAATTCCAAGTATCTTTTACTTCTTTTGATAAGCCTTTGCAATTGTATTCTTCGGGTATTCCAATACGACAATCTCGAATTGAAAAATCTTGTTGAAATTTATTTGTATCCAAATTCATATTCAAACACGTTGAATCATTTAAGTCTGGTCCAATAACTACACTAAATACTGCCATTACATCTTCAACTGTTTGGGCCACAATACCGGGCACATCCATTGAATTCACAAGAGGTATCAGTCCATGACGAGAAAGCAAGCCATAACTAGGCTTAAAACCAACTATACCACAATATGAAGCAGGATTTCTTACTGACCCACCGGTATCGGATCCCAATGCACTAGATTTGTACACATATATTTTATACTGAAATTTGTACAGTATCATTTTTTTTTAAACACATACGCAACACATACACCAGAAGCCACTGCTGTACAACTTCCTCCTGAACTACCTCCTGCAATGTGCCATTCATCTGAATTTGAACGCCATACATTTTTAGTAGGCCCAAAAATGGAATCTACGGTGCCAGAACTTGATAGAAAAATCAATTTTTATATAATATCGTTTTGATCAACCACTTACTTACCCCATGGCAAATTCATCCAAATTGGTTTTTCCAACTATAACAGCTCCAGCCGCTTGTAAACGTTCTACCATAGTAGCATTGTACATAGGAATAAAATTTTGTAACATCTTTGAAGCACATGTTGTAGGTATACCTTTAGTACAGAAATTATCTTTCACTGCGATCGGAATACCTTCCAGAGGTCTTTGAATGCCTGAATCAATCACGATTATTATAGTGTAACGTATTATTTTAATATATAAATTACCATTTTTTAGTTGTTTCTGACATTCTAATGCTTGTCGAGCTCCGTCTTGATTAATATGCACGAATGCATTGAGATTGGATTTATTTTCTAGATCTTTCAGTGTTTTTGTATAGAGATCAACGGCTGATAATGTTTGATCTCTTAGCCGCTTCTTCAGAAACGATATCATTGTGTTAAATTATTTACAAATAACTTAAGCATCTAAACACCGTGAAATTAAGATTCACCGCATTTCATTTAAAAAATAAATATAATTATATAAAAAAAAAAATAGGTACATTTTTACTACATTGAATTATAATATTTTAACAACCGTTATCATTGATAATGTTATACGTCGTTATCAATATTTTTAAACATTCAATTTGATAATTTTTCGTTTTAAACATTTTTTAACTACCAGTTATTTATCTTAATAGATCTATATTCTATACTGTCTGTACGCTATATACTTAATCTTGTGTTTCAGGTATAAAAGCAGCAAATAAAGTTTTATCGTTTACATAATCTATGATTGAAGTTTGTATGGCATTGTGAAAAGTATTGGACATAGTTTGTTTTTCAAAACTTCAAAATGGCCTGTTGCTTAAAACACTGTTCACGTTCAATACATACATTTAAAGTGCCCACGAATGAAGATCTAAAATTGAAATGGGAAAAGTCCTTAAAATTAAAACTAAAACAATCATACCGTGTGTGTTCGAATCATTTCAAAGATTCTGACATAATTCATACCTGGACATCAGGAAGAGGACTTTATAAAATTTCTGTAGGCATTTCATTTTTTATACTATTCAAAAATGTTATTAATTATAAAAAAATAGGCTAAATAACTTAAAATATATAATTAATTTTGATTAATTTATGTATTATTCATTATATATTATTCTATTGGGACTTAGAGATGTATCAATTTTATTTGTAGTATCCTATGGTTAAAAAATTCACATTACATATAATATTTGATTAATTTACATATTTTATAAAAATTTAAATAATTTTTTCTACAAAATAACTATATTGATAGCTCCTTATTTTCATTATCTGTTTCTAAAAAAATTGTTGAGCTTACGCTTAAATGAAGTAAAGAAATAATTGTAAACTGTACCAAAACCTTAAGTTGAAATATGCACTATAACAAGAGAATTAATTTTCAAATAAGTTTCATACTTAGTCATGTTTGATAATATCAGAGCCGTGCCATGGGAGAGGCCCCAAACGCATAGTTTAAAAGGACACCAAACATTTTTTTTTTATAATATTTTAAACTTTACATTAATAAAATATATGAGAAAGATTATTGTTTTACTATTATTTTGGACCATTACAAATTTTTCTGAACAAATTTTATCAATAATAAGTCAACCTAACATAGTAATACCTAACTATTTTGTTTTATAATTAGTATTACAATCAGCTTCAGTTTTTTATCAAATCAATGTTCAAAATACGTTGTAAAAAAAAAAATTAAATCAAATAGGAATGGAATGCATTATGATTAATGATAAATAAAATATGGGCGAATATTTTTAATTTTGCCCTGGGTGCCAAATCTTAATGGCACAGCTCTGGATAATATAATTATTAGTTTTTATTTTAATCTCTTTAAAAATATAAATACAGAAAAATTTACAATAGAACCTAGAAACTGAATAACAAATATATACAATTAATTATTTTACTGATATTTTATAATTTATGACAAATCATGTAGTTGATATTTTACTTAGAAAATACTAATAAGGTATATGATTTTTATGTGGTATAAATAAAATCTAAAAAAAGAAGTGCAATTTTTATAAAAATGTATGGTAAAATTTACTTGTATGGAACAATTTTATTTATTTTTATTTTCGAATTTACATTTTATTAAAAGATTATTGTGAGGTATTCAATTCATATAATTAAAGATGATTTATTATTTTTATAGAACCATCAATTTACATATAATTATATAATTAAATTTTGAATTAAGTTACATTTTATTTATGAAAAATTGTGGAAATTAAAAAATATTTACACTTTGTGCAACTTAATTGGAAATCATATAATTATTATATTTGTATATAATTAATAAATATATTGTAAAATGGATATTATTTTATGTATCTAGATTAAATAATTTTTTTTTTACAGGTGAAGTTGAAAAGATGGAAACTTAAGAAAAATGCGATTCCATGTCTTAATATTAGCGAACTAAAATCTGAATCAATTGACATTGTAATAATTAAAAATATTTATACTATTTATATTATTTTTTTATTTATTTTTTTTATTTTAGACACCTAATTCAATCGTGAAATTAGAAAATGGAACTATAAATCCTTTGACTAATTCTATTCCTATAGAAACACAAATGAACAAAACAAATAATACCTTAGTGCCTTCTATCAAACCATGCACATCAACTTTACTCCAGGAAATAAAAAATGAAGACGTAAATATTATTTAAATTTTGAAAACAGTTAATTAGTTCATTTAAATTTTCAATACAACAATATTACTGTTAATTATTCAACTTTTATCATAATAGATTGACGCTGAATACGACATAGAAGAAGATACCTTAATCCAACTAATATTAAAACATTCATCAATAATTAATTTACCAAAGAATTGGTTTTTTAGTTCAGAAAATGTGGGAGATAATATAGTTATTTCTTTTCACAAATTAAGCCCTTTTACAGGAAATTTCAAAAGATATATAGAAAAACAAATAATTATAACAAATGGTTTGAAAAATGGTTTGTAATAATTTTCTGGTTTTCAATAACCATTGATTAATTATTTGTAAATATACAACTATTTCTAGTTTCTAGAGTAATTTTAATTTTAAATTTTAATAAAATACCGCTGATGAATATTGGATTGAATATTGAAGTCATTGATAGTATAGAAAGTTTACAAATACTTTTACATGAATTAAATGAAATCAAATGCTGTCAAGGAGTTGCTCTTTCAGATGACTATATTGATGTTAAAAAAACATTAGAGCCTCAGTATGTAGAATATGATGGCCATAGGTGGCACAAAAAATGTTTAACAGTGATTAAACATAATGAAGAGTATGTATAATTATTTTGCATTATGTATTTAAATAAATTATTGCCTTTTTTAAAATTTCTATAAACGTAATTAAATTTGCACTTATTAACATATTTTTATTTTTTTGTGTGTTTCAGTGATTTATGTTTGTGGTGTAAATATTTATGAAATATTTAACTTGAAGATTATTAGGTAATCAATAAAAAAAAAAATTAAAACTACACATTTTTTTTTAATAAAATGAACTCTATTTTTTATTAAATAAATTTTATGCTATTTAGTATAAAAAAAAATTTTTATTATTAACTTCAATATTGTATCATCTTACCTTGCTCTAAATATTATTTAATTTTACGTTTTTCTAAATATACTTTTTATTCATCATATAAATGTTATTGATTATTGTATTAATATTTCTTATTCTATTAATAACATTAATAATATTAATAACACATTGAAATCTTAAAAAAATAATCAACGCTTACATATTGTCTTACATTTTTAATACATATATAAATAAATAGTTTATAAATAGAAAAAAAATTAATTAATAAATAATTAGCCTGATATTATTATATTTGTAGAGTAAACTGATTTTTTAATTAAAAATTTATCGTCAGATATAGAGTCAATAAAATCAGAACTAAAAATAAAAGTTAAAATTAAGTTACAATTTTATAAACTTTGTTAATACCTGACAATGAATTTTTAATTTGAAACCGGTTGTACATAACAAATATAATAAGGCTAAGCTTTTATTTATTGATTTATTTATTTGTATATTAATTTAAATACAATTTTTAATTTTAATTACATTTTTTATTATTCTATTGAATATATATTTGTAGTGAGTGTTAGTGGATGATTGTTGACTGACTATGGAATATTTTTTTCCTAGGAAGCACTTAGAAATGAAAATTTATTTAAAATGATGTGTAATTATTTGCTACTTTTATCTTAAACGTTTATCTCGATTTTCTATGTCCCCTATGCATACACCAACAGCCCTCGTATCATTCTCAATCATATATATTCATCTCTTTTTTTGGTTTTCCTCTTCATCATTTTTCTTCACTTTATTTATTTTCATAACCACTCTTACTGTTTTTGTTTCCTCACACTAATCAATATGATCAATACTACCTCTCACATATTCGTTCCTTATTTTATCTTCTCTTGAAACTTGACTCATCTATCTAAGCATTCTCATTTCCGTAACACTCATACTCTGTTCTATTCTCCTGTCAACCACCAAACACTCTGAACCATGTAACATAATTGGTCTCACTACACTTCTGTAAAATTTGAATAAACAAATATGATAAAATTATATTTTTAGAAACTAATTTTTTGAATTAAAATTTATTAGAAAACAATTTTTTAGTTTTTACAAAATTGTGGTTAATACAAAAACGCTAGAGATCTGGCAATGATATCACGAAAATTATTAAAAGAAACCATACATAAAACAGGACCCAAAAGGTAGACCACGTACAATATGAAAAGAAATAGTAGAGAAATATAGGTATCAACATGTTGGATATGTAATGCTTTTTTTGTAGAAGTTCTAAATGACAACTACAACAGTGCGATACTACATGAATCTGACAGCGCAGGGTATAGTTCATCAATTTATCTTCTATAATTCAGCTTGATCATTTAACTGATTGTTTAAAAAATGGAAATATTTTAAAAATATTTTCTTGGAAAATAATAAATTATGTCTATCATTAAAGTGTGAACTACCCATTTTATTTTATACTTACATAACTAATAAAATTAGTTAAAAGTAGTAAGTAAAGAGTAGGTACCTATGTTTATGATATAATAATATTCTAATGTCTATCTAACGAATACAATTCAAAATATTTATGTATCCTACGAGTATATATTTTTATAAAACCTAGTATAGTTATTAAATATATATATTTATACAGTAAAACTCGATTAAGACCCTGTAATATTTAATAAAAACTTAGATTCAGGTGGATGAAAAACACATTTTTTATTTAACAACCACATTACACATACACGTTTTTTTATTTTATTACTGATCACATACAATGATACCACCGTTGCTCATTGCAGTGTTACAAATATTACAGTCCCTTTTTAAGGAACTACCTCACTAGAGCGTCTGAAGCGGGGATTAAAAAAAAAATTATTGTAATATCAAGTTTATTTTATTATTATTGAACATAATTTAACAGGTAAGATATTTATAAATTATAATTTCATATATTTTTTGCTATTGAATTTAATTTAAAAAAAAAAACACATACATTTAGCAATATACATATGTATTTTTATTACTTATTAAAAAAAATTATCTATTTTTAATTGTTTCAGATTCAGACAATGCGTTTCAGCAAGAAAGTTAGCTTAGACGTTCCCCCCCCCCCAAATAATATGGCAATATTTTACTAAAACTGTAATTTTTCTTACCTACTATTTAGTTCTTCTAAATACACTTCATTTTTAATATTATTTTTTCAAGTGGGTGGCACTTGCCCATAGGTGTAACTAGGGGGGGACTTAGGGAGCAAACCCCTCACAATACGAATTTTAGCCCCCCTGTCATAATTCTTAGTCTTGCTAACGGTAGCTACATTTTTAATTTTAATTTAAAATATCGTTTTATTTTTTTTATTGATAAATTAAACACAAAAATAGTCGTAAAAGACGTACGATCAATAATAACTTGTGATAACGACAAACGAGTAATGAAATATTAATGAAACTGACATAACATCAGAAATTTCGGTTGCAAAAAATTGTTATGACAATCAATTGGAAAACATTAACAATCAGAAACATTTAAAGTAGGTAGTTAAAAAGTATCGTTTAAAAATCTGTTTTCCCTAATATATACAAAATGCTACATTTAGCGCTTGCAGTTCCAACAAGTTCCATATCTTGTGAAAGAACATTCTCAGCATTGCGTCGAATAAACACCTACATAAGATCAACTATATTACCAAATCGATTTTCCAAGTTAGCAATCATAGCAATTGAAAGAGATTTGTCAAACATTCTGAACAAAAAAAAACATTTTAAATACATTTTTTTTAAATACTGAGCAGAAGCTTAAGCTGTAATAGTTATAAAATTCCTTTAAGTTTTTAATTTTTAAGAAAATTTAATTTGTACCTATCTAAAATAATACTTAATAAATATGTTAATATTTTAATGTTTACCTCAATATTACTTGAGTGAGGGACGAGTTTATGGGGGGGCAGAGCCCCTCGCATTTTTTAAATAAGAACTCAAATATAATAAATATAATCCATAATTTCATCAAAGAAAATATCAGAATATTTAATTTAATTATATAGATTTGTACATAGATTGTAGACTGGCCTAAAATATGATGATCATTGTCTTTTTTATTGAAACTGTGCAAAAGTAGCACAATTAGTCCCAACATTTAAAAACACTGAGAAAGACTATATAACAACCTAGATTATGATTGGACGATATAGTGGCAAGGATGATAGTACTTGATTAAGAAAAATTAGTATTGACAATTTAATATTAAGGCGAATGTTGAAATAATTAAATGAAAAGAACTATAAACACTTTAAAGATGGAAAAGGGCAGTTAAGAAGAGTATGATTAATATTACACACAAAAGGAGTGATGAACAGCACAGTGAAGAGTCATTAAGAGATAATTTAAAGGAATGTGAAATACGATTATTATGAAGACACTTAGATATTTAAATACAAATATAGTAGGCTACATAAGTTCAAATTGAGTTCTAGATTCTGAGTGAAACAATTGGGTTGGAAACGTGAAACTAATTAACAATTAAAAGTGGTTTGTTGAACGAAAAAACAGACTGTCATGAATTTCATAAATGTTAGATTAGATGCACACAACTGCATTCTGAAAAATAACAAAATATGATATGCTGATTCAAAATATAACCTATATAATAACCCATATAATTAGATAGCCATATGTAATTGTATAGTATGACTTAACTTAATGTTAAGTTCAAAGATATTAATTATTAAGGATAAAAAATATAAAAATAAACAATGAATGTTTTTAATAAAAGTGGAAAAAATTAAACGCAAGTGGTTTTTTCCAATATTATCAAATTGAGGATTGAGAAAAGTAAACAAAAAGTTATTAAACATCCTTGACATTTATTACAAAGGCACGTATAACTATAGTAAGACTCCTACAATGTAAATATTGCAACATACAATTATGCAACTTATAATATCGTGTCCTGTAATTAATACTTTTGCATCAAAATTCACAATAAATAACAATAAAACGTTACATTTTCATAGAAAAAAAAACAATACATTCATTTAGATAAGAAAAGACGGGCCATGACTAGAGATGTAAGTAAAAATAGAGTACAGCATATTGACATTTTGGTGTTATGGGAATTTCGTATACAGATATTCAAAACTCATATAAATAAAAATAGGGTTAAAAAAAACCAACCATGTGTCATAAAATAAGTGTAGAGATAGTTGGACACAATATTTTTTTTATGTGTAAACTTAAACAAAACAAAGAAAATATTTTATTATTAATAAAATCTACGTAAATCAAACAAGGATGTATTTACGTAAATTATTATTTTAAACTTAACTAAATAATTGATTAACACAATAGTTACAAAATAAATTAAAACTTAATTTGCTAATAATTTACTGAAGAGTATGCCACAGATTAAATATTACTTTCAACTCATTATACAAAATATTTTGACACTTTTAAATGCTGTGGCACACACAATTCCCAATTACAAATAAAAACTACTTTGTATTTTTAAATGTTGGGTGCTAAAAAATAAATGTGAAAATAAAGTGCATAATCATAATTATAAAAAAAATAGAATGATAATAATAATACAAATAATAATATTAAAATAATGTTAGGGTAAAATAATAAATTAATAAGTGTAAAGAAAAAAGCAATGAAGAAAAACAGTATAAACAACAAATAACACTTATAAATAATCATAAACAGTATTATAATAAAAGAAAAATATACAAGAAATATTTTTTTTTCACTTTACTTTTAGATAAAACTTATTTTATCTAATTTTTCACTAGATTTTAAATTTTTATAAATTAATTTGATTCCCTCTATACTTTTAAAAACAACAATCCAGACAATTATGATTAACTTTAATTTTTAACAACTTTTGAACTTGTACACTTATATTTATTATGTTTAGCTAGAATCTTAAACATATATATATATATATATATATATGTGCGTGTGTGTAATATTTTATTTATATAATTTCGTGTCAGCATATAAATTTATAAAAGTTGAAGAAAAACTAAAGATCATTTAATGTTAATTAAATTAATTTAAACATAGAGGAAATCAATAACAAATGACAGTTGAATAATCATGAAACAAATATACATTAATAAAATTATAACTTAAAATATGATGTATTATATAAAATTGTTAATTGATCCATTTTCCTTTATACTTAAATAATAAATAATAAAATTAATTAAGAAGTGGTTAGTCATAAAATTATTAATCTATGAATACTGTTTTATTTCAAATTAACTCTTAAGACATATTAAGAATATGGGACATTAAGGCTATCCTCTCACTAGGGCAACGTGACGCGACTGCGTGAGTTCTGCACACAATAGACCAGCGTTTCTTAAACTGTATTCCGCGGGACCCTGTGGTTCAGTGAAGATCACTTCAAGGTTCCGCGAAGCTTAAGTAATTTTTTAAATTTTTTTAAGAAAATTACTTTAAGATTTCCAACTAAAGATTAGTAATGGTGAAAAAATGTTGGCATTAGAGAAAAAAAATCTTTGTATAATAAATAACAATATATGAGCCATATGGAACAGTCTAAATTTATATTTAGTCTAATTAATGTAATTATTATTAAATTATTATTATAATTTTTATTTTAACATATTTTTTGAATTGAATACCTTTAACACAATATTATTATATGATTATAATTTATTTACAAATAATCTTAAAAAAAAAAGCCAAAAAGCTAAAAAAAGTAGGGGTTCCACGATAAATTTGGACATCAAAAAGGGTTCCACGAATTAAAAAGTTTAAGAAACGCTGCTATAGACGATGTTTCAGCAACTAGAATTGGCCAGTTGCAAACATGTTATCCTCTGAAGATGACGACACCATTGCATTATACTGGTATTATCAAAACCACAAAAAATGGAAAAGAAGTTATTAGGTACACCCATACATACTAAATAATATTAACTGTCGTATTTTTGTTATCGCTAATGAATTAATACAAGATGACGTCAAATTTGTGTATTAAAAAGCAAATTATTATTAATTATTATTTATATTATTTAATATTTATTAATACGGTAAAATGCATTACTCGTTTTCCTATCTACTTAATACAAAATATAATACAGTTAACTATATAATATAGTTCACACATATTTGTTAAAAACAAAATACTCTACCTAATATCGATAACCGAATATTTTGGATGCGTTGGGGTAGGGTGGTAGCGATGTAATGCCAACTATCCATCAAGCGACTGACAGCACTAGTCGTGCGCGGATTAGTTGTTATCGTGTCGCGTCAGTGGAAGGTCCCCGATATATTAATCCGTGTTTTATAAAACAAACGATTATCACGCGATATTTATTTAAAATCACGTCGTGTCGCGTTGCCCTAGTAGAAGGATGGCCCAATTGTACTTAAGTACATTTAATTATAAATCAACTTCTATTGCATTATTTAATAAACATGTTATGATTTAGGTAAAATCAAAACTATTAGCGAAAAAACTTGAAATATAAATTTGTATAGCTATATAGCTAACAAAGCACATTTAAAGTATTTTCTATATTAACTATACAGGGTGATTTATAGGCTTGAATAAATCACTAAAATAAATAGTGTTAGGCCAGCCAAATGGAAGACCTAAAAATTGTGTTTAAAACAAATATTGACAGAAAAATATTAAATATTTAGAAATATAAAAAAATTTCACATGACAAAATATTAGTCATTAATTGTATGTTGAAAAATTGAGCAAGTAAAAATCAAAATGATTAAAATGTCACTTAAATATCAGATAAAAGATATAATAGTGATCAAATAAAATATTCAATCACATGTTTCACTCATTATTTCAACATAAATATAATATATATATATATATATATATATAATATATATATATATAATATATATATATAATATATATATACTTATCAATACTTAAAACACAGCTTTGGCAATCACCCTGTATATTCATATAGTTTTAAAAATATATTTATATTTAAATGATAACTGTTATACCTATCTATATATTAGCCATAAATAAAATATTGTTCCTACAATATATCTAACACCATAGGATAATTTAAATAAAATATTACCAAAAAGTAGATTAAAGTCTAGTTTCAACACTAGACTTAAAAAATCCTTTTTCTGTTTTACACTCTCTAATTGTAACTGTATTTAAATTGACAGTCACATCAGTAATAAAAACATTATCCACAACTGGATTGCGTGCAAGCCAATATTCAGGTCCAGGGTTTGCTAGTATGGTCTTATACTGTAAACGTTGAGTAGGTGTTTCAGCAACAGATGCTGTATCTAGTACCTGATGTTGAACTCCAGCACCTTGAGTTACAGCTGTTGCAGCATCTTCTTGGGGCCTAGCCGGCTCACCAGATGTTCTCGAACTGATAGGTGCTGCTGCACCAAGTGTATCTCTTGATTTTACACTAGTTGGAGTACTTTGAAGTATTGCTGTCAAAGTAAGGTGTTGATTTTCTGATGTTGTGGAGGAATTTTGATTTGTCAAAACTGCAGGAAGCGTATGTTCAGAAACTTTTCTTTTAGGAGTTCTTCCACATTCCGGATTAAGTACTACGAGTGGTAAATAATTGTTTGGAACATTTGTGGGCGACTGTAACTTGGGGACTTTTGATTCCATCACAGGAGGGCTCGTCGTTATAGTTACACCAACTTTACCAGATTCTTTAGATAAAACTTCAGCTTTACGTTTAACTTTTTGAGGTTTAGGTAAAGGTGAAGGTGATTTGGAAGACTGCTTGGGTGTAGTTGAAACTAAAAGCAAAGGTGTAGATTTTGCTACAGTTGATAATTTTTCTTCTTCTCGAGTATCATTGACTTCTAATACAGGAGTCATTTTTTCTTCAATAGTTTTTTCTGCAATCACATCTACTTTAACAGCTGCATTTAATTTAGGCATTTCTGCTAATGAATCTTCATCAACTGTAATTATAAATAAAATACATTTTAATTTCCAGATAAATATTCTATTACAATATATAAGATTAAAAAAATATAATTAGTATATTAAAAAAATAAAAAAATAAATATAAATATTAACAATTATTTAGCAAAAATTGTATACAAGTAACTACATCATAATTTTTTACTGTTGCCCTTTAAATATTTCACATATGATTTAAAACCGTCAAGTTATCTATTTTATTATACAGTGTGTTTTACTCCAGTGTTTCCGAGTAGCGTGCGAAAATCATTACTTTGTTCGAATTGCATGCGGGGGTTTTTCGCGACAGAGTCGAACAGCGTTCGTGTATTTTTTGCGACAGCCGAATTGCGTGTGCGATTTTTTCATGACAGAGCTGAGTGGTGTACAAAAAAATCATACTTAAAACATATTTAAATATAATAATACATAGGTATATCAGTCAAAAAGTTAGTTGAAAAAAATTAATGTATATATAATAAACTAAACTGGCAAGTTCTTGTAAGTTAATTTTTTTACAAACTCCAAATGTGTTATAATTTTATTTTCATATTGACGCATAATATCACTGATATAATCAGGGGCGGATTGGCAATTATTTTCGGCCCAGGAAATATGAAACAAAGCGGCCCATGCTCCCCTCCACCCAAATAAACGCTTAATTTTGCATTAATTTTAAAATTTGTTTATTTTCACCTCTAAATCAGTAAAATCCATAATAACTTTACTATAATTATAGCTATAATAGTTTTGGGTAAGTCAAATGATTAATCAGTTACAACTTGAACTTGAAGATTGATCTTAATGCATCTTTAAATATATATTTATTTGTTCAATGATTTTTATTTATTTTACAAAATAAAACTTTTTTTTTTTGGTAATTATATTATAATATAGTGAGGCCCAAACAAGGAGAATTCCCGATTTCCCGATAAACCAATCCGCCACTGAATATAATATTCCTTTTCTACTGCCTTACGTCGTTTTTATGTCAAATTTGAGCTACTCATTTTGACATAAATGTCAGTTTGTACATTTTTCAAAATTTCTAAAAACTGGAAAATGTTTGGATATGGAGAGTAGAACATATTATTTTACTTTGAATGAAACGGTTCACAAATATTAGTAGTAAGCATTAAACCAGTGTTTCTCAACCTTTGTATAATGGCGACACACTATTAAAATATTTCATACTTTGCGACACATAGTAAAAAAAAATAAGAATAATAGATAGTATTAAATATTTATAATTAGTTAATAATATATAAACTTATAATATAAAATCAATTATAATACATAAAACAACAAAGAAAAATATAACATAGGTAAAACAGCATTTTAATGAGAAATTTGTGACTGATATTTCTTACATAATGTATCAATTCGTGGTGAAATCTTCGATAAGGCGAATCTTAACTTCTCTTCGACATTAATTAATCTTTCCCTTTTTTTTTGTTTTTAATTTCATTCAAAGCAGAAAAAGCTACCTCGCACAAATATGATTTCGAAAATGGTAATAATACGGAATGAGCCAATTTTGTTAAGTTCGGATATTCTTTTTTTGTGTAAATCCAAAATTGGTTTAGTTAGCTCGAGCTCATTAAATTTCATTTGAAGAGTGCGATCGTTTTTTAATTCTGCAAGTTAGGTTTTAGTAACAAAAAAATATTGTTGTTAATAAATTAAGAAAAAGTCTATTCGACTATAGAAGTAAATGACAACTGAGCATACAAATAAAGTGAGTTATTGATACGGTGCATGTTTTCAGTATAAATATACTATACGTATTCACTGTTTAAAAATAAACGAAAATATCAAAAACCAACATTTATAAATTAAGATGACACACAATAGGTGATTCGAACGCGATTAATAGTTCAAAATGACGATAATAATAATAACCCAACGATAATAATACAATTTATTTTATGTCGATAGCTGAAAATCTATTTTTATTATCATGGAAATTACATCAAATACCTATTAATTTTTGTAAATAGTTAATAGTGTTAATAATGTTTTTTGTCATTTAATATTAGTACTTCACGCGACACATTTGGACTTGCTCGGCGACACACCGGTTGAGAAACACTGCATTAAACTGTTCGAAAACTAGGCCCACATCGACGGCGGAAATGTACAGCTTTATAAAATATAATTTTATTCAAATAAGTTACAAAAATCATGCAATTGTTGATTATTTGGTTTTATATTCATGAGATCTTCAGAAAACATTTTTTTAAACTTCCTCAGGTTTTAAAAAAGATAATCTGAAGAACAATTTTAAAAAATTTCAAATTTTTGATTTATTTTTAAAATGTTTAGTTGGCCCAATTGATTTAATTTTTTCTCCACATTGTCTGACCTAAGTGAAAATGACGGTCTTTACGTACTACTTCCGGAAAAATTTTTGAAATTTCCGAGTGTAATCTCACCTAAATTTGTTAGAGCTAAATGAAATAGATAAATTTGTAGGCAACTTTGGAATCATACTTGACCGTGCATTATGAATATTTTTTCTTATGCACATGGTGTCTGTAGTAGTCAAGCTATCAATAACACCTTCACATAATTCTCGGCGTATAATTTTATACAGATTTTCACACAGATCATCTAGGGGTCTTCAACTTTTTTATGCAGCGGGCCACATATTACTTTTTTTTAAATCTTGCGGGCCGCATTCGTAGTAAAAACATGTATTATATATAAAAATTCAGTTTTATTCTTACAATTTTTAAAATTAGGTAGGTACATTTAATAATTTAAAAAAATTGCTATTGGACCATTTTTCTTGAAAAACGCGTTTTTCATCCGAGATTTTACGTTTTTTACTCACTGACATATTGTACAAATATTACGAAGAAAAAGTATGAAATTGAAACTTTTACACATAAATGAGAATATTGTGCTCGTTTCACAATCGATTACGAACCAACAGACAATAATAATTATATATTGGTAGGTAATTCAATTTAAACTATCGCAGATTTCTGATAGCAATAGCTTAATTGTTATAATTTTATTGAACTAGAAAATGTAAATGCTAAATTTAAAATGCGATCGTGGGCCGCATATTATGACAGGACGGGCCGCAAGCGGCCCGTGGGCCAGGGGTTGAAGACCCCTGATCTAGAACCTTAAGTTTTAATTTATTGCTTAATTTTTATTGAATTAAAATACTTACATTATCTTTTTGTGATTTAAAACGCTAAAAAAAATTTCACTATTTTCATTTAATTTAAAATACGATCTACATATTCATTTTGTACATGCCTATCTCTGAATATTATTATTTAAAAACTTGTTGAAATTAAATTTATAACCATTAATTATGTATACTTTTTTATTTTTTTCACTGTACATTACACTAACTTCCATTTTTATCGTTTCTGGATGCTAACTGACGGTAAAAAATTACAAATAATTCAATGTTCTTATCATATACTCATATTTAATCACTATTTACCGGAGAAACCCCTAGATACAGTATTTTGAATTTACTAGTTATATTTACAATAGTACTTTCACAGCATACGTCAGAGGTGGCCAAACTACGGCCCGCGAAAGTATTCTACATTACAACACTTATTTGCATAACTGTAATATTTTATATTTATGTAAAAAAAAATTAAAAATACATATTTTTATGGCCCGAGATAAAAAAAAATTGTGTTTTATGGCCAGAGGTAAAAAAAAGTTTGGTCACCACTGGCATACGTGCAAGTCGACGAAAACCGGTCGTCTGCTCAAAGTTTTACGCACGCAACTCCACTCTGTCACAAAAAAACTGTGCATGCAATTCTTGGTTGTTAACTAAAAGTGCTCATTTTTTGGCACGCAATTCGGATGCAGCCATTTTACTCAAATGGTAACACAAAATATTTCTATCAAATGACATTGAATTGAAATAGAATTCTCTGGGAGAAATTGGGAATTCTAAAATAAGTTCTTTTATATGATTTTCAAATGTTCGACTCTTTTAGTGTGGACATGCACAACAATTTTTTTTAAATTGCAACAGGTATTTTTATCACCAGATTTGATTAAATCAAATTATTTTTAGCATTTTTTATAATATATTTTTTCCTACCTCAGAAATTGGCTGATTTATGATTGAAAAAGGAGTAAAAGAAAAGAAGGAACTGTTAAAGCTACTTAAGTTAATTAAAATTTTTATTTTAAACAACTTATGACACAAAATACTCATCGTCATTTGATGAATTATTTGAAATTTAGCAATTATGTTTTAAACATTTAAAATATATAGTTTTTGATAACCCACTAAATAATCTTTAGTATTTAAAACAGAAAAACGAAAACATTCACACAACTGAAAAAAGAACAGATTGCAGCAGCTATTCAAGATTAAATTATAATATGATTTAATCATACTACAATATTAAAAAGGATGTTTACAACAAAAGAGACAATACTTCAAACAATTCATTAGATCAATGGTGTGTAACCTGGGGGTTGCCAATAATTTAACAACAAAAAAAAAAGTTATATATTATATTATAAAATTTAAAAATTATAAAAAAATATACTTATTTCAGAATTCCCAATCTCTTCCTGAAAATCTCACTTCAAGTTGAGATCATTAAACAGAAATATTTTGTGTTACCATTCAAGTAAAAAAAAACTGTATGTGTATATTTTTAATTGTACATGTAGTTATTAAATTCATACAATTATGAGTTAGTTTAACAAAAATTTCTAACTTCTATATACATAATTAAAGAAGTCAAGTTGTTGAAAATTCCTTTATTTTTATTTTTTTATATGTTCTCTACACTTACTTTAAATTAAGGTGTTAACTGTATTTAATTCAAATCTTTTTTGAAATATATTACAATCATTATTACTCTTAATACATTTGAATTAAAAATGTAAGTAAAAAATAAAAGACTGCTAGTGGTAACACTAATGTGAGTAGACATTTATAATAAACATTGATAAAGATTAAGTGATAAACATTTAAAGCAGTTTACTAATATCAACATCTTACATATAATTAAAAATAATTATGTTTAACAGTTTCTTTAAATTAAAAAAATTTCCTTATATGTTGACTGTTAGTAGTTAAACATAATTATCTTATTTATTAGGATTCAATAAGTATTAAATAGATGAAAAAAATCAAAATATATCAAATATGTATAATAATTTTATAATTACTTGGTTTATCTTCTTCAATATCATCATCATGCCTAGGTAATAAAGGTGCACCATTAGTAGACTCTGGCAAAACTTCGGATTCATCTTGGCTATTATAATCGGGTACATCACCATCAGCAATTTCATCTTCGTAATCACTTCGAGTTGTTTCTGTAGTTGGTATTTCTATGTGAGTCTACATAATTATAAAATAAAAATAGTTATAAAACTAAAACGTAAATACAATTAAATCATATATTTTTACATACACTTTGAGTTTTTCTTTTAGGACCACGCTTGTGAGAATTGTTATCTGTACGTGTTTGACTAAATATAAAATAAATATGTTATAGAATAGTTAATAATTGATTAGTATATGATGCAATTAATTATAAAATAAATATTTTGATAATATTACATACCTTTGTTCAAAAATATCAATAAGCCTTGTGTCAATAATGTTTTCTTCAGGTTCCCAAGTATTATGTCTAAACATTTTTAATACCAATATAAATAATAAACAAAACAATTTTAAAAACAATTTATAAATAAAATTTATCAAACTTACTTAGGTCCCCATCCTTTCCATTTAACATGATATTCAACCCGACCCTAAAACATATGAAAATATAATGTAGGTATAAATAATAGTACAAATACAACTATTATAATTAAAGACCAGATATAATTGCGTTAAAAATATCTTAAAATTGCACTAAAAAGATGTCAAAATTGTAATGAAAATTTATCAAAATTGCAGTGAAAAATACATTAAAATTACACAGTAAAATTATATCAAATATATAATTATTAATTACTTAAATAATATTTACAAACTACATCATTTTTCCGAATTAAAATTTATAATTATATACATCTCTAAATTGTGTTCTTGAAAATTTTATCGTTTGTTACTTAAAATATGTTTAGATTATGAAAAAGTACGTTTGATGTTTACACTTGTTATCAGTGAATATTTAAAATAATTTAAAAAATTTGGTGTTATATCTAAATTAACATTTTGGTTTTCTGTCCTAACCTCAGAGTAAGTTTTAATAGTTTTATATTCTTAATTTTTTTCTATGACATATTTTAATTTATCTTTAACTCATTTCCCATTGGGATTGAGCATATTTATCAATATATTTTCAATTTCACTAAATATGTTTAAATAAATTGAGTAATTGACTATTTGATTCTTCTAAACTTGTGAGTTTTGTAGATAACTCTGATAAATATAATTTTAAAAATACTAAACTATATTTAACTATATGTAAAAATTATATTCTAGTTATATTATTATTGTAAAGTTACTTTAAAAATAATAATTTTCATATTTTATAGTGTTAAGTATACAAAAATTGTAATAATGGCAAAAATTGCATTATTAAATTAAATAGGAAGACTGCAATTAATCCTATTCGTATACATATTTGATCAAATTTGACTTACCTGGTATCAATAAAAAGTTGCAATATCTTTTAAATCTGGTTTTTAATTATAAAACATATTGGATTTTGAAAAATAAAAATATTTTATACTTAATTTATACATGATAATGGATTTTATTATAAAAATACTTCAGATGATATTTTAAGATAAAATAGCCAATAATTATAGGTTTTAATTTTAAAATAAGTTTTATATTAAAAATATAAATAGGATTACATTAAATATATGTTTATAATAGTATAAATCATAGAAAAAATTTTAATTCAATAATATAAATTAAGTTATGAATAAAATTATAATTTTAAAATATAGTTAACGGGATAATTATATATACATCATTTACTTTTTTGGAAAAAAAAAATGCTATTGCTCTAATAGAGGAAAAAATCAAAATGTTTAAGTGACACCCAATCTCAAGGCGCACACTTTGAGATTGTGGAAACGGAAATGGTCAAACCTACCTCTAATTTTCACTGTTTCTTATCGCATAGTCTGTCCTCATATCCTACAATTTCCCTGGTTTCATAATATCCCTATTTTCCGCAAAGTCATCGTCTCCTTTTCGGCCACAACCACCTCCCAGCCCACTCATTCCATTTATCTCTTAATGATTCTCCCTTCTGTACTTGGCATGTTGATCCTGCTATATACAATCCTTCCCATCTCCTCTTTAATCGTCCAGACCTTCTCACTAAACGTTAGCTTCTCTCCAATATCTGTTCTTCCTTTAATATTCCTTTTACCCTCTCACATATTTTCCAATTCCCTAATGTATTCATTATTTCCATCGTTAACTTCTTCCTCTCAGAAGGCTTTATACTTTAATTATGTTTATTATCTAATATTGCTTTTCTAGTTGTTTTAAGTAGTTAAATTGTATTTTTTATTTATAATCGCTGAGACAAATATTTTAATACACCTCTTAAGAAAAAAAAAAAACTTACCGATAAAAACAAACATTATTTAGGCAGTATATTATTTATAATTACATAAATCATAATATCCAATGCAAAATGATAAAATTTTATTAGAATATGATAGAGTGTAAGTGCAATTGCATGTTACTAATTTAATTTACAATGTTTATCTCACTCTATCAATCTACAGTAGTCAACAAAATAAAATATATTATGTATACTAACTTGAGCAATACAAATGAGTTGATAAAATTAATGTTGAAAGAATACTGATTGAAAAATTAACTACAATTTAATAGACTAGGTATAAGAAGAGTCAAATGACAACGGACAATTGTATACACATAGAAAACCAAATATTATATAATACAATTTTTGGATTTGGCGAAAAATATTGGCACAAGCACATGCATTGGTATGAAAAATGTAAAGGCAATAATGGGTTAGTATAATGGCAAGGATGATTGTGCCAAGAATAGTAGTCGCCAAACGCCGAATCGAAAATTATTGATGAAAGTTCATCTGGCCATCAACAACCAGATACCCAATACAAGAATCTTGGACTTTGAAACGAGTCTTGAACCAACGGAGAAACCAGTGAGAAAATGAAAAAAGGAAAAGGAGAAAAAAAGGCGCGCAAGCCGTGTTGTTATCAAAAGTACTTAGGCGGCAGCCTCTGGACACTAACTTTCCTGACCCGCTTCTTCATAAGCTTCTCGGCTGCGTACACCCGGTCGCCCATTGGTGACGATTATTCCGTGTCCAACGTCCAGACCAGTATCGGTGAAGAATACGCGAAGAACACTCGCGTGAGAGTCGGCGGCAGCGTAAAACAGTAAACGAGGACAACGACGACAATTATGTCCTAATCCTGGTAACGGTAAGCACAACGGTCGGCGGTGACGGCTACGACAGCGGAGGCGGAGGCACAGGCGGCAAGTTTCGTCGAAATAATCATAAAAAAAAATTTATATAAATCAACTAACGGTGATGAGCGAAAAACGAAACGTAACGATTACGGTCGGCGGTAACCCGTGCACGGCGGTAGGTCCATAGCAATTATTTCGTTTCGACACGAAAATAATAACATGTAAACACAACAAATATTTACGTCGCACGCACACGCACGCGAATCACAACGTATTGTCTAGTGTGACCAACCGTATCCGGCGTACGAGTGTATGTGCGTCGCGGCCACCACGTTTAGAAACCGGAAAACAACATTAATCAGCCAACTGGCGCGCATGCGCTGTCAAACACCGGCTGAGAATTTTCGAGAGCGCGCGCGAATGGAAGCGCGCGTAAATATCGAGGCCGATCTGCTTTTTTTTTCAATCATTATCACCGTTCGGTTCCATCAGCAATTCCGATGTACTTGTGCATTTCGTTGTCACCGTGTCGTACCGATTGGTACGTAAGTGTGCGCAGGACTTATTTTTTTCGAGACGGACGCATTTTGTTGGTTTATATTTAACACAGAATTATCAGATTTCAAGACATAAAATATATCATTATAATTTTTTTTCCTGCTCAATTATAGGATTTGTGTACATCCATAGTGACACGTGGGGTTGGGATACATTCCGATTTGGCGGGACATTCCATATTTTTAATATACTTGTCCCAAAATTTTTCGGGGTCAGGGGCAAATTAATTTGGAGGCTCTTCGACCATAATATTATTATTATATTATTATTCATATTATTTATAATTTAACCGCTCAATGTAATCGGACAAGTCGCTACATGCGCGCACGAACGCGACTTTAATCGTTGACACGCAGCGTGTAAAATTACTCAGTGTATTCAAGACTTTATTATTAATTACTATACATCAAGACTTTGTGAGGACCCCTAGAAAATATCCCAACAATGGGGCCTGGAACAAAATGGTCCCGTTTCCCCCCTCTCAGAAAGGCCCTGCTTGTCTCGCGTCCCACTTCAATTCTTTGTAGGACGAGTATTTCATATTTCCCGAATCCCGCTTTACAATAAAGCGAGACGTCAACATCCCAATTTTTTACAATATTACATTTCAAAAAGTGTGTCTCGTGAGTAAAAAAAAAAAATCCCAACCCTAGTGACGTCTTCTGATTAATTTTTTTTTTTTACGGCCTTTTAGATCACACATCCAAACATAACTGCCTCCATTCTTCACGATTTTTCGCTAGCATATGCCAATCTTCCTCTAAGTAAAAATCTGTTACATCTTTTTTGACACAATCCTCCCATCGCATTCGGGGTCTTCCTAGTAGTCTTTTCCCTCTTGAATTCTCTTATAAAACCATCTCTGTCATAGCATCAGATTTCCTCCACACATGACCTGCCCATTCCAATCATCTTCTTTTTATTTCCTTTACTATATCCGGTCTGTTATACAGGTCATATAACTCCTCATTGTGCCTTTTACGTCATTCACCTGATTAATTATAATTTTATATTTCAATTAAAAAAAATGTAATCCGGCATTTTAGCCGGAGGAGTTAAATCACAGAACATCAGTTCCTTAGCTGAATACCCTGTATCTGTATCCCCCCTCTCACTGATTACGGCATTGGCACATACGAGCTGCCGTCACCACTCTCGACACGGCGTTAAAAATGTTATTGCTTATTGGGATTTAATACCTCTGCAATACAACTAGTCGGGTAAGGATTTAAAATGAGAATTATGTATATGCGATGTAGACGGGTGTATCAAGGAAACCACGACTGTGAAATACGTTGTTCGCGCGAATCCGACTCAAACTGGTTACTGGTTTTCGCTCGATACGCTCGTCGTGCCGCTGTTGACCTGCAAACGGACTTATATCACATTATTATTATTTTTTATTTTTTTTCAATTGCACGCACCAACTGCGTATGCAACGCTGCAGTTGTTGGATGTACGTGTAGTGCATTACGGTTTACAAACAGTAATGGAACCCGCTGGGGCAAGTCACATTTTAATATTTTTTTACGTTTATAAATATATGACCGATTGTAAGATAAAAATATCGAGAAAAAAAAATTGAAAACAACATGCAACATGTGACATAGTGATCTTGATCAAAAATGTTTACCTATATTCTCCCCTTTCACTCCCCACTACAACGAATACGCCGTTTAAGTACATCTACGTAATACGTAGTTATAATAATTATATGTATATAAACTACATCGGTGCAGTGTAACGTGTATAACAAGTCGGTAACGAGAGCAGATGTGTAGGCTGCGATGCTTATAATGCACACGCGCGCACACATTTATACACACACATATATATTAATAATATTACAAACCTTCTTCCCTTCAGGTTAAGATGGGTGGAGGAGGGTTTGTTGGGGCTGAAAAGGACAGATGAAACTCTCCGAGGCCGACGCGTGCGTTGTAATCACGTCTTTCTTGTACACCTATTATTATACCGTAACACAGTCGTTCGCAATCCGTTTCAAATAAGGGCACGTTCTATACGCGCGCGCGTGCATACACACGCACACGACCGTAAGACGTTTGCCATTGTGTTCTGGCACCCCTCCTTTAACCCCCGCACCACCATATAATAAGTGTCGCGTAATGTACGCGAACAAAACCGGATTTAATTTTAACGACTATTTTTCGCGCTACAGCGATTGCCACCGCCTTAATACAACTTCACAAGCAGCACGATGATTTACCATCACGTACAATCATGATTATGCATCGTAGAGCTTTTCAAATGATTTTCCGATTTCTAGTAAAAAAAAAACTGTTCAAATAAACGGACCAAGAGGGAGGACTTGAGTCTCCTTAGCGCACCAGTTTAGCTAGTGATATCATTGGTGTCCTGATTTGAAAAGACAATTTTTTTAGTACAAATAAACACATTTCATGTACCTACCCGCCCTCACCTTGGTCCCGCTCACGAATGTTTAAATTAATCATGATTGAAAAATATTAACCCTTTATCAGCCCACAATCTGACCGTTAAATGTACTCCAATTTGCGCATTTATTGAACAAATAAACTTGAAGCTAATATACTCTGCGTGCAAAGGTCTGTAGAACGATCAATCATCAGTTGAGTATTGTTCTCGCCGCGGAATGCAAACGAAAACAAATTTAGACATCCTATAGAATTCCTATTCCCGGAGAGTTTTTTCGGATTAGTATACGATTGATATTTAAAATTCGTGTTTGAAATCCATCTACAAAATCGACCCGCTCCGATATCAATTAAAATGGTTATTATGATGTTTATATTCATCTCAAACTTTAGTTTTTCCAAACGGCTCACGCGTCGTATATTTTTTTTTGTTCTTAAAATGATTTCGTTCCGGCGGCGTAGAAATCGGATAACACAAAAATAGCCGCGCAGCGCATTACAATATAATAGAGCCGCGGTTTCTTAGTCGCTGCTGATGCCGACGCAACGCCGGTGTGAACATCGTGCGGACCAAAGGCAGCCGTATCGAGGCGATGGCGGACAGAATGCAAGCTGTTCACGTGCCTGAACATCTGCTGCTCTGCCGCCCGGTGTCTAATCAACTGTTGTCGCGACGGACTGGCGGGCGGATGCCCCTCGCGCGCCCAATGAAATTTCACCGCCAACCAACGCGCCGACGACGGTCAACAGGACGTCCGTATAATAATAATAATCATTGTTGTGCAAGAACAAAACGATCCGAAGACGGCAGCGGAGTAGATTAATATAATTTAAGGGTATATTTTCGAACCGACACCGCTGGCTGTATACATAAATATTATGTACATTTTTACGTTTATTCGACGTATAATTGGTAATTTATGTACGCCCTTTTTTCAGTACCATGCGCTTAAAAACGTCTATACAACACTGATCCACCGATCCATCGCTATTCGGTGAAAACGTAACACACGTTCATGCAGCTACTTCACATAATATTTGTAACATTTATTATGTAAATTCAGTTGTGTAATTTATAAACCATCAATATTTATATATTTATATGTATGAATACAAACATATATATTTAAAGGTTAATATGCATATGAGTACTGCAGTCCCAATTTTAAAATCGATACATTTTAATGTAATACTATTGCGCAGTCACTACTTGTTTTTATTTCAATTTCAAATACTGTTATGTCATTGCTGCAATATTAGCACTCTCGTAACTATATACAAACTTATGAGGGATTCGACTGATTAGAGGGTGCGGTGTCGTTTGGAGTCTAAACTCAAACACATTTTAGATCAAGGTTAATTAAACTAATAAAAAATTATGTTACTGTTTGCTTTTTATTAAAATATTCATAACATTGTCTCGTAACTGGAGATTTGATTAGTTAAACAGATATGGAAGCATTAATTGAATTGAGATAATACCAAAAAAAATGAACGATTTATTATAGAATAAGAATGATTTTATCATGAAACTTTAAACTTGAGACTTTTCTGAGCTGAATTATTTTTAGAATTCCGAGATAGAAGCATGTGAATTTGAAAGGATATTATTTTTTTTAGTTTTTTATTTTTTTTTTTATTAAATATTAATTGTATTACATTTACTAGCATATATTAATAATAACTGAGATTGCGGGACCTATATTTCACTCGACATTTAAATGTTTTTATTTTATTGTTAATTAGGTACTTTATTATATCCACGAAATCATCAATTTATTTTATGCACATACTCGTAAATACACAATTTAAAACTTGAACGAATAGTCAGACTGAATACAGTTTTTTTTCAAAAAACCTCTCCAAAATATAAATGTTTTCGTAATTGATAAATTATAACTTTATTTTCGCAAATTATTTCACTTATAATTTTTATTTAAAGTAGCAAATTTAATCCTTTAATTAAATAAAAAGTGTGTACGTTTTATAATACATATTATTTATTCACGTTTTATGATTTTTAAGTTACATCTTCAAAATAATTATATATTTTTAATAAATAAGCATTTTCTTATTTATTTCTACACATAAAATATAGGAAGAAATTACTTAAAAACTTTTTTAGAAGTTCATTAAGTAGTTTTTAACGAATAAAGAGTTTAATAAAGTCAGTTGCCAATGTCAAATGTAGATAATTCTCAAACACTTCAAGAATTGAATTTAAAAAAGAGTCGTTGAACTTATATTAAACATATATTATGAGAGAAAAATTAAAGAAAACTAATTTCAATAGATTCATAAATGGGTAATTAATATACTACAAGACTGGCTCG